CTAGCCAATTAGTTACAGAAAATTGCAAATGTGTGTTTTCTTCCTCCTCCCCCTTCTCCTCCCCCTTCCCCTCCCCTTCTCCTCCCCCTTCTCTGCCTCCTTCTCTGCCTCCTCTTCATACCCTGTTTTCCACTTCAAGGCTCCTGGATGGGTTGCAGAAATATATATATATATTCTCTCCATCAGATGCCGTGTGCGATGACGCACTTTCATATCATATTATATCTTCCAGCATCAAAAACTAAGCAGAGCGTTCACGTATCACTAACATGAAACACCCAAGAAGCGAGAATTGCATGGTGACACTCCAAAGATTGTTTTGAAGATAAATTCACCTGCCTGGGTCCTGTTCCCTCCTTGACTGCTGAACTGACCTAAGTGTGTGCAGATGCAGATCTCAGCCCAGCTTGATCAGAGAGACAGTACTGATCATGCCTCACAGAGAGGTGTAACATACTGTATGAGTGACACATGTCTTGTTCACCTCAGATTGGTGAGGAATGTTGACTGAAAGCTTGAAATACTGTAGCTTTAGGGTTCTTTCAAAGGTGGATGGATGACTCTATGTGGACACAAACTAGATGGGACATATTATTATTGGAACCTATTAGAAAGTATAACAGTGGGACACAGAAAGTGGGACACATAAAGTGGGAGGGCAGAGATAATTAATATCTTAATCTTGTGTTTCCCTGTTTTGAGTAACCCGAGGATGCCCTTCGGTCTGATGTTCAGTACGATGGGTCAAATTCCTCATTTCCCATTGTTCGATGTGATGATGAAAGAGGTGCCAGAGCTTCAAACTCAGGGTTTCTGGATAATATAACATGATCTCTAGTAGCACATTCAGCAGATACAGAGGGAACAGAGAAAATAAGAGGGAAAGGTAGTGAGAGGGACAGTCACAGAATGAGAGGGAGATGGTGAATGAGGGATCCAGTGGTGGCAAAAGCACCCAATTGTCCTACTTGAGTAAAAGTAAAGATGCCTTAATAGATAAATGACTGAAGTGAAAGTCAGTAAAATAAAATACTACTTGAGTAAAAGTCTAAAAATAGACTTAATTATCGAAAGTAAAAGCAAACCAGATGGCGCCATTTTCTTGTTTTTTTTATATTTATGGATAGCCAGAGGCACACTCCAGCACAATTTACAAACGACGCATATGTGTTTAGTATGTCTGCCAGACCAGAGGCAGTAGGGAAGACCAGGGATGTTCTCTTGATTAGTGTGTGAATTGGACCATTTTCCTTTCCTGCTAAGCATTCAAAATGTAACGAGTACTTTTGGGTGTCAGGGAAAATGTATGGCGTTAAAAGTACATTATTTTCTTTAGTAATGTAGTGAAGTAAAAGTAGTCAATAATATGAATGGTAAAGTAAAGTACAGATACCCCCAAGTAGTACTTTAAAGTATTTTTACTTAAGTACTTTACACCACTGGCTTCTATTGTGTGAGTGGAGGCAGGGTTCTCCCCAAAGGCGCTGTGCCACCTTGTGGACTGGCTGCACCACTATGTAAAAAAAATAGTAATAATATATATATATATATATATATATATATAGTACCAGTCAAAAGTTTGGACACACCTGCTCACTCCAGGGTTTTTATTTATTTTTACTATTTTCTACATTGTAGAATAATAGTGAAGACATCAAAACTGTGAAATAACACATATGGAATCATGTAGTAACCAAAAAAGTGTTAAACAAATCAAAATATATTTTATATTTGAGATTCTTCAAATAGCCACCCTTTGCCTTGATGACAGCTTTGCACACTCTTGGCATTCTCTCAACCAGCTTCACCTGGAATGCTTTTCCAACAGTCTTGAAGGAGTTCCCAAATATGCTGAGCACTTGTTGGCTTCTTTTCCTTCACTCTGCCGTCCGACTCATCCCAAAACATCTCAATTGGGTTGAGGTTGAGGGATTGTGGAGGCCAGGTCATCTGATGCAGCACTCCATCACTCTCCTTCTTGGTAAAATAGCCCTTACACAGCCTGGAGGTGTGTTGGGTCATTTTCCTGTTGAAAAACAAATGATAGTCCCACTAAGCCCAAACCAGATGGGATGGCGTATCGCTGCAGAATGCTGTGGTAGCCATGCTGGTTAAGTGTGCCTTGAATTCTAAATAAATCACAGACAGTGTCACCAGCAAAGCACCCCCACACAATAACACATCCTCCTCCATGCTTTACGGTGGGAAATACATATGCGGAGATCATCCGTTCACACACACCACGTCTCACAAAGACACGGCGGTTGGAACCAAAAATCTCCAATTTGGACTCCAGACCAAAGGACAAATATCCACCGGTCTAATGAGCATTGCTGGTGTTTCTTGTATGTATGTATGTATGTATGTATGTATGTATGTATGTATGTATGTATGTGTGTATGTATGTAGGTATATATATATATATATATATGTATATAGGCATATATATATATATATATATATATATATATATATATATATATATATATATACATACAGTGGGGAGAACAAGTATTTGATACACTGCCGATTTTGCAGGTTTTCCTACTTACAAAGCATGTAGAGGTCTGTAATTTTTATCATAGGTACACATCAACTGTGAGAGACGGAATCTAAAACGAAAATCACATTGTATGATTTTTAAGTAATTAATTTGCATTTTATTGCATGACATAAGTATTTGATACATCAGAAAAGCAGAACTTAATATTTGGTACAGAAACCTTTGTTTGCAATTACAGAGATCATACGTTTCCTGTAGGTCTTGACCAGGTTTGCACACACTGCAGCAGGGATTTTGGCCCACTCCTCCATACAGACCTTCTCCAGATCCTTCAGGTTTCGGGGCTGTCGCTGGGCAATACAGACTTTCAGCTCCCTCCAAAGATTTTCTATTGGGTTCAGGTCTGGAGACTGGCTAGGCCACTCCAGGACCTTGAGATGCTTCTTACGGAGCCACTCCTTAGTTGCCCTGGCTGTGTGTTTTGGGTCGTTGTCATGCTGGAAGACCCAGCCACGACCCATCTTCAATGCTCTTACTGAGGGAAGGAGGTTGTTGGCCAAGATCTCGCGATACATGGCCCCATCCATCCTCCCCTCAATACGGTGCAGTCGTCCTGTCCCCTTTGCAGAAAAGCATCCCCAAAGAACGATGTTTCCACCTCCATGCTTCACGGTTGGGATGGTGTTCTTGGGGTTGTACTCATCCTTCTTCTTCCTCCAAACACGGCGAGTGCAGTTTAGACCAAAAAGCTCTATTTTTGTCTCATCAGACCACATGACCTTCTCCTGTTCATCCTCTGGATCATCCAGATGGTCATTGGCAAACTTCAGACGGGCCTGGACATGCGCTGGCTTGAGCAGGGGGAGCTTGCGTGCGCTGCAGGATTTTAATCCATGACGGCGTAGTGTGTTACTAATGGTTTTCTTTGAGACTGTGGTCCCAGCTCTCTTCAGGACATTGACCAGGTCCTGCCATGTAGTTCTGGGCTGATCCCTCACCTTCCTCATGATCATTGATGCCCCACGAGGTGAGATCTTGCATGGAGCCCCAGACCGAGGGTGATTGACCGTCATCTTGAACTTCTTCCATTGCCTTCTCACCAAGCTGCTTGCCTATTGTCCTGTAGCCCATCCCAGCCTTGTGCATGTCTACAATTTTATCCCTGATGTCCTTACACAGCTCTCTGGTCTTGGCCATTGTGGAGAGGTTGGAGTCTGTTTGATTGAGTGTGTGGACAGGTGTCTTTTATACAGGTAACGAGTTCAAACAGGTGCAGTTAATACAGGTAATGAGTGGAGACCAGGAGGGCTTCTTAAAGAAAAACTAACCGGTCTGTGAGAGCCGGAATTCTTACTGGTTGGTAGGTGATCAAATACTTATGTCATGCAATAAAATGCAAATGAATTACTTAAAAATCATACAATGTGATTTTCTGAAATTTTGTTATAGATTCCGTGTCTCACATTTGAAGTGTACCTATGTTAAAAATTACAGACCTCTACATGCTTTGTAAGTAGGAAAACCTGCAAAATCGGCAGTGTATCAAATACTTGTTCTCCCCACTGTGTCTATGTGTGTGTGTATATATATATACTATATCTATGTGTGTATGTATATATACTATATATTTATGTGTGTGTATATATATACTATATATCTATGTGTGTATGTATATATACTATATATCTATGTGTGTATATATATATATACTATATATCTACAGTGGGGAGAACAAGTAGCTAATGCATAGCTTTCAACTGTTCTACATGTTACTGACATAGCTTTCAACTGTTCTACATGTTACTGACATAGCTTTCAACTGTTCTACATGTTACTGACATAGCTTTCAACTGTTCTACATGTTACTGACATAGCTTTCAACTGTTCTACATGTTACTGACATAGCTTTCAACTGTTCTACATGTTACTGACATAGCTTTCAACTGTTCTACATGTTACTGACATAGCTTTCAACTGTTCTACATGTTACTGACATAGCTTTCAACTGTTCTACATATTACTGACATTGTTATTTATTTCTGAACACAGTATGGAGCCTCTTGTTCTTTGAGCTGCTGTACTGTTGATCTTTGATCTACTAAAGTGTAGCTAATAGGCTGAGTGCCTCTTACAGCATATAGTTAAGATCAATATGACCAGTGCTTGTCAAGGCGTCTGTGAATCCCATGGCACATTTGATCTACTGAACCACATCGGATACCCCTTCAGGCTGGTGTGAATGTGTACAGAATTTACAATGTTTCATGAGTCTCCTAAATCAAGTGGATAATACCATCTAATTGGTTAAAGCAGCTCCTTTCAGTGCTCATTAATATGAGAGTTAAAATATCACTAAGACTTAAGGTTCACATCACATCAATGCTCTCTGTTGTGTTGTAAATAGCCAATTAGGTTATCAACCAAGCCATCGCAAGTTTACACTGCAGTTTTCTTTTCAGTGTGAAGATTCACAGTGTAAAGTAGGTGAACAAGGACCATGGTTCAGCATCACAAAGTGATCCAGAGTTTATTATCAAAGGGGAGTAGCCTGCAGTTCAAATTCTGGACAGTTAAATACAAATCAGATCCCCACAGCCAGTAGTGTATGGAAAGAAACTCAGTGAAAGCTTGGCAATGACCAATAGTAATGTGGCTGTTTCTTTGCTAATGGCTTGGCATGACTAAACGTGGGCTGGCAGGGAAGCCATTTAGAGAAATGTCACATTGTAAAGTCTCTGTCTCCCACTGTGATGGATGTGTCTATAATGTTTCTTGGAATCTGTTATTTCCATTTAGACTCCAGCTTCTTTTGGCACGTAACAGACCTTTGGCAGACGCTGGAAATGGGAGTGTTGCGTCTCGGTAATTTCTTGTCGTCAGTTGTGAAAAGCATCTGCCATCTCCCTCCCGCTTGTCTCTCAACATCTGAGACAGCATAGGCCTCCCTGGAACCAGAACCAGTTCCCTCTTTAGAAAGACGAGAACTTGAACAGGGACGTTGATTAAATACCTGCTGTGAGAATACATCAGTTTTTGGGTGAAGGAAAATTGTAAAAGAGAGTGAAACCCCTTGGGCAATTCCGAAGCTTTATCGAGGTTCTATATTGTCATTTTCTTCCTAATCAAATTTTTTCTCTCTTGTTTTTGGTTTCTCTCCTCCCCCTTCTTCCTCTTTCAATCTCAATCTCTCTCTCTCTCCCTTCCCCCTCTTTCTCCTCTTCCCTCTCCATCTCTCCCTCTCAATCTTTCTCTCTCTCCCTTCCCTCTCTTTCTCCTCTCCCCTCTCCCTCTCTCTCTCTCTCTCTCTCTCTCTCTCTCCAGATTGGGTGTAAGGTGACGGTGTTGCTGTTCATCTACTTCCTGGCGACTAACTACTACTGGATCCTGGTAGAGGGCCTGTACCTCCACAGCCTCATCTTCATGGCCTTCCTCTCTGACACCAAGTACCTGTGGGGCTTCACCCTCATCGGATGGGGTGAGTGTGTGTCGTGATTTCCATTTTAATTTCACCTTTATTACTACAGGTTATTTTCATTGAGATTAAAACTATTTAGTTACAGAGACCTTTGTGTGGTGATGTCATCATAGGGCCACAGCCTTTATGGGATTGGATTGGGTTGTTGTGCATTCTAAAAACGAATTTAGTTTCCAAATCTTTGTTTATTTCATTTCATCAAGAGCTTTGGTAATCATGCTATCAATATTTATAAGGGGACCAAAATACATGTTTGTGATCTAAATGAGATTTTCCTCAGTGTTTACTGTACTAGCAGCCAGTACACATTGATAATGCACTCTGATACCTGGGGTGTTTCTCAATATGCATACTACTGTGCCCCACACTCTCATGCTCAAAGTGTATTCTCCTAGGACGTTCTCTTGAGTACGTTCTTGTGAGGACGAGAGTGTGGAGAACACATAAAACATTACATTTGAGAAGCACTCGCACTCCCCGTACTGTATTACCTCACGCTGCATCTCCCCATTCACTGAACCTTCTTCCAGCCAGGACAATGGCAACAATAGAGACGAAACAAGATATACACCAAGCAATTGTTTTTCTTCATAATTATCAGCTAGATATATGGGAATCGTAATCTAGCTAGCCAGCTAGCTAGTTAAACAGGCATAAAATTACCTAAAACTAATATTATGCAAGGTACATTAGATGTCAATTCTTCATGGGTAGCTAGCTAACAATTCTTCATGGCTAGCTAGCTAGCCAGTTAGCCTTATTGACTTACTATGGACTTACCCATTCACTGAACCGTCCTTCTTCTAGCCAGGACGATGGCAATGGAGACAAAACAAGATACAAACAAAGCAAACGTTTTACTTCATAACTATCAGCTAGCTATATGTGAATTGTAATAATGTAGCTAACCAGATTGTATAACAGTCAAAAATGACCTAAAACCAATGTTATCCAATGTAGATGTAAATTCTTCGTTGGTAGCTAGCTAACAATTCTTTGTGGCTATCTGGCTAGCTAACAGTAGTAGCTAGCCAATTAGCTCTATTGACTTACTATGGGCTTGTGACCTACGCACACTACAGTGGGAATTGTAGGCAGGTAACCATGCCAAAATTAACACAGCATGTATTTATTAACGTATCAAGATAAAATATTGTAGTCAGGCAACATATGAAATGTGAATAGGCAACATTTCATTCAGAAATCGGAGTGTATTTTCTCTTGCTTCAGCTCAAATATTGATTTCAAGAAAATTGCGTAATTTTTTACGTGGTTGCGTCATTTCTTTGCATACTTTCCATTGAAGCTTGCATCAATGCATGCTTCAAAATACATACAAATGGAGTACGCATTCGAGAAGTGCCCTCCTTTCGCATATTTTGATTTGGACTCATACTCCAACCCTCCCATGCTCCAATTTACGAGCTCGGAGCACGGTAGTATGCATTTTGAGAAACACCCCTGCTCTGTCCAGCACAAACAATCTATCAGCGACAGCAGGCTTTACCAGTAGCTCGCAGCCCACCTATGAGTAGCTCGCCAAACATTTCTGAAAGTTCATGCAATTTTCACGTGTTCCACCGCAAACTGTCATTAACAAATCTCACAAGTATCAGACACTGAAAGCTCCCAGCTACTATCTAATCAATGTAACATTGACATTATCCCACCCCTGGTTAGCCACTATTGGCTTAAAAAGCCAAACCTAACACAATATGCCAATTCATTCACCCCCAAAAATGGGGCACTAAGACGTTGAAATTGTGGCCAATATGTAATCCTTACTTTCATGATCCTAGAAACCACTTAACTGTATGACCCAAAAGGAGCCTTCATAGGACACTTCAATGCTGTTCTTAACCCCTTCACCGTCACCGTACAACAAAGCACTGACTCCGTAGGGAGTCAAATCTACCATCACCGTACAACAAAGCACTGACTCCGCAGGGAGTAAAATCTACCATCAACGTACGACAAAGCACTGACTCCGCAGGGAGTCAAATCTACCATCACCGTACAACAAAGCACTGACTTCACAGGGAGTCAAATCTACCATCACAGTACGACAAAGCACTGACTCCGCAGGGAGTCAAATCTACCATCACCGTACAACAAAGCACTGACTCTGCAGGGAGTCAAAATCTACCATCACAGTACGACAAAGCACTGACTCCGCAGGGAGTCAAATCTACCATCACCGTACAACAAAGCACTGACTCCGCAGGGAGTCAAATCTACCATCAACGTACGACAAAGCACTGACTCCGCAGGGAGTCAAATCTACCATCACCGTACAACAAAGCACTGACTCCGCAGGGAGTCAAATCTACCATCACCGTACGACAAAGCACTGACTCCGCAGGGAGTCAAATCTACCATCACCGTACGACAAAGCACTGACTCCGCAGGGAGTCAAATCTACCATCAACGTACGACAAAGCACTGACTCCGCAGGGAGTCAAATCTACCATCACCGTACAACAAAGCACTGACTCCGCAGGGAGTCAAATCTACCATCACCGTACAACAAAGCACTGACTCCGCAGGGAGTAAAATCTACCATCAACGTACGACAAAGCACTGACTTCACAGGGAGTCAAATCTACCATCACAGTACGACAAAGCACTGACTCCGCAGGGAGTCAAATCTACCATCACCGTACAACAAAGCACTGACTCCGCAGGGAGTCAAATCTACCATCACAGTACGACAAAGCACTGACTCCGCAGGGAGTCAAATCTACCATCACCGTACAACAAAGCACTGACTCCGCAGGGAGTCAAATCTACCATCAACGTACGACAAAGCACTGACTCCGCAGGGAGTCAAATCTACCATCACCGTACAACAAAGCACTGACTCCGCAGGGAGTCAAATCTACCATCACCGTACGACAAAGCACTGACTCCGCAGGGAGTCAAATCTACCATCACTGTACGACAAAGCACTGACTCCGCAGGGAGTCAAATCTACCATCAACGTACGACAAAGCACTGACTCCGCAGGGAGTCAAATCTACCATCACCGTACAACAAAGCACTGACTTCACAGGGAGTCAAATCTACCATCACAGTACGACAAAGCACTGACTCCGCAGGGAGTCAAATCTACCATCACCGTACAACAAAGAACTGACTCCGCAGGGAGTCAAATCTACCATCACCGTACAACAAAGCAAGCTGAGCGTAAGCATACATACATTGTACTCATGCCCTGCTTTGTAACAGCACTCCTCATGCCCTGCTTTGTAACAACACCCTGCATATTATTTGTTGGAGCATATTTCCTCCCACTCTTTTTAGACAGTATTTCATAAAATTCTCATTTTGTGAGTCCCGCCACAGGGAGAATAGATTGTTGATCTGACATCCCTGCTATTAGAGTAGTCTCTTCTCACAGCCACTGTATTAGAGTAGTCTCTTCTCACAGCCACTGTATTATAATAGTCTCTTCTCACAGCCACTGTATTATAATAGTCTCTTCTCACAGCCACTGTATTAGAATAGTCTCTTCTCACAGCCACTGTATTAGAATAGTCTCTTCTCACAGCCACTGTATTAGAATAGTCTCTTCTCACAGCCACTGTATTAGAATAGTCTCTTCTCATAGCCACTGTATTAGAATAGTCTCTTCTCACAGCCACTGTATTAGAATAGTCTCTTCTCACAGCCACTGTATTAGTATAGTCTCTTCTCACAGCCACTGTATTAGTATAGTCTCTTCTCACAGCCACTGTATTAGAATAGTCTCTTCTCACAGCCACTGTATTAGTATAGTCTCTTCTCACAGCCACTGTATTAGAATAGTCTCTTCTCACAGCCACTGTATTAGAATAGTCTCTTCTCACAGCCACTGTATTAGAATAGTCTCTTCTCACAGCCACTGTATTAGAATAGTCTCTTCTCACAGCCACTGTATTAGAATAGTCTCTTCTCACAGCCACTGTATTAGTATAGTCTCTTCTCACAGCCACTGTATTAGAATAGTCTCTTCTCACAGCCACTGTATTAGTATAGTCTCTTCTCACAGCCACTGTATTAGTATAGTCTCTTCTCACAGCCACTGTATTAGAGGCACATTAAGAAAACAATCATCAGTAGCATCTACCCCAATCCTCTTACAACCTCCTCTCCTCCCCACTCGGCATCACAGTGACTCTTGCTCGCTTGTTTTGATACTTCCCCTCCCTATTATGGTAAATGTTGTTTTTATTCATGCCCCATCCTCGTTTGATGTGTTCATCCTGGTAGGAAGCAGAGAGCACGAAATAAACGTTTGAAATGTAGATGTAAAAATAACAACTTTTCTCAGGCGAAAGGAGCTGGATTTATGCTCCCAGGGAACTTTGTGGGGGGGTTGTTGACAAACGCAGGCATGCTGGCAAGCAGGCAGGCACACAGACTTACACACTCACACTCACACTCACACTCACACACACTCACACTCACACTCACACACACTCACACTCACACACACTCACACACACTCTCACACACTCTCACACACTGTCACACACACACACACACACACACACACACACACACACACACAATCACACTCACACTCACACTCACACACACACAGACAAACAATCCTTTCTATCACAGTGTGATTTGGTCTCTTTGGTTAAGCCACTCAGCCGAGGCGGAAAATTACAACTGTGATCCGTATCAATCCAGAGAACCATGAAATGTAATTGATGTGAAGTAAATATGAGGGTGTCGGAGTAAATAAGTTGTGATGTTGGAACTGTCATATTCAGCAGAGCGGTTTGTTTTCTTGTTTAAAGCAAAAAAATGCAAATGTATTTTCTTATGTATGATTCTAACATTAAAGTTGTCCTCTGAAAATGTTCCCTTCCTTACGTTCAATGGTTTTACACCCGCAAACACAGTAATATGTGTTTTGCAGGTGACTGGTACTAGCAGAGTGAAGTAAAAACAGCCAACAAGTGCTCAGCATATGTGGGAACTCCTTCAAGACTGTTGGAAAAGCATTCCAGGTGAAACTGGTTGAGAGAATGCCAAGAGTGTGCAAAGCTGTCATCAAGGCAAAGGGTGGCTACTTTGAAGAATCTCAAAGATCAAATATATTTTGATTTGTTTAACACTTTTTTGGTTACTAAATGATTCCATATGTGTTATTTAATAGTTTTGATGTCTTCACTATTATCCTACAATGTAGAAAATAGTAAAAATAAAGAAAAACCCTTGAATGAGTAGGTGTGTCAAAACGTTTGACTGGTACTGTATATATATACACTGCTCAAAAAATTAAAGGGAACACTTAAACAACACATCCTAGATCTGAATGAATTAAATAATATTATTAAATACTTTTTTCTTTACATAGTTGAATGTACTGACAACAAAATCACACAAAAATTATCAATGGAAATCAAATGTATCAACCCATGGAGGTCTGGATTTGGAGTCACCCTCAAAATTAAAGTGGAAAACCACACTACAGGCTGATCCAACTTTGATGTAATGTCCTTAAAACAAGTCAAAATGAGGCTCAGTAGTGTGTGTGGCCTCCACGTGCCTGTATGACCTCCCTACAACGCCTGGGCATGCTCCTGATGAGGTGGTGGATGGTCTCCTGAGGGATCTCCTCCCAGACCTGGACTAAAGCATCCGCCAACTCCTGGACGGTCTGTGGTGCAACGTGGCGTTAGTGGATGGAGCGAGACATGATGTCCCAGATGTGCTCAATTGGATACAGGTCTGGGGAACGGGCGGGCCAGTCCATAGCATCAATGCCTTCCTCTTGCAGGAACTGCTGACACACTCCAGCCACATGAGGTCTAGCATTGTCTTGCATTAGGAGGAACCCAGGGCCAACCGCACCAGCATATGGTCTCACAAGGGGTCTGAGGATCTCATCTCGGTACCTAATGGCAGTCAGGCTACCTCTGGCGAGCACATGGAGGGCTGTGCGGCCCCCCAAAGAAATGCCACCCCACACTATGACTGACCCACCGCCAAACTGGTCATGCTGGAGGATGTTGCAGGCAGCAGAACGTTCTCCACAGCGTCTCCAGACTCTGTCACGTCTGTCACATGTGCTCAGTGTGAACCTGCTTTCATCTGTGAAGAGCACAGGGCGCCAGTGGCGAATTTGCCAATCTTGGTGTTCTCTGGCAAATGCCAAACGTCCTGCACGGTGTTGGGCTGTAAGCACAACCCCCACCTGTGGACATCGGGCCCTCATACCACCCTCATGGAGTCTGTTTCTGACCGTTTGAGCAGACACATGCACATTTGTGGCCTGCTGGAGGTCATTTTGCAGGGCTCTGGCAGTGCTCCTCCTGCTCCTCCTTGCACAAAGGCGGAGGTAGCGGTCCTGCTGCTGGGTTGTTGCCCTCCTACGGCCTCCTCCACATCTCCTGATGTACTGGCCTGTCTCCTGGTAGTGCCTCCATGCTCTGGACACTACGCTGACAGACACAGCAAACCTTCTTGCCACAGCTCGCATTGATGTGCCATCCTGGATGAGCTGCACTACCTGAGCCACTTGTGTGGATTGTAGACTCCGTCTCATGCTATCACTAGAGTGAAAGCACCGCCAGCATTCAAAAGTGACCAAAACATCAGCCAGGAAGCATAGGAACTGAGAAGTGGTCTGTGGTCACCACCTGCAGAACCACTTCTTTATTGGGGGTGTCTTGCTAATTGCCTATAATTTCCACCTGTTGTCTATTCCATTTGCACAACAGCATGTGAAATTTATTGTCAATCAGTGTTGCTTCCTAAGTGGACAGTTTGATTTCACAGAAGTGTGATTGACTTGGAGTTACATTGTGTTGTTTAAGTGTTCCCTTTATTGTTTTGAGCATTGTATATACACATTTGTTGTTCTAAGACTAAAAGTAATCAACTGAAGTGAAAACGTTCCGCTCTAATCTAATATACAGCTGCGGAAAAAATTAAGAGACCACTGCAAGATTTCTCTGTTTTTTCTATTTATAGGTATGTGTTTGGGTAAAAATAATTGTTTTGTTTTATTCTATAATCTACTGACAACATTTCTCCCAAATTCCAAATAAAAACAGTTATTTGCAGAAAATGACAAAATAACAAAACAGATGCAGTGTTGTCAGACCTCGAATAATGCAAAGAAAATAAGTTCATGTTCATTTTTAAACAACACAATAGTAATGTTTTAACTTACGAAGAGTTCAGAAATCAATATTTGGTGGAATAACCTTGATTTTCAATCACAGCTTTCATATGTCTTTGCATGCTCTCCACCAGTCTTTCACATTGATGTTGGATGACTTTATGCCACTCCTGGCGCAAAAATTCAAACAGCTCGGCTTTGTTTGATGGCTTGTGACCATCCATCTTCCTCTTGATCACATTCCAGAAGTTTTCAATGGGGTTCAGGTCTGGAGATTGGGCTGGCCATCACAGGGTCTTGATCTGGTGGTCCTCCATCCACACCTTGATTGACCTGGCTGTGTGGGATGGCACATTGTCCTGCTGGAAAAAACCAATCCTCAGAGTTGGGGAACAATGTCAGAGCAAAAGGAAGAAAGGTTTTCTTCCAGGACAACCTTGTACGTGGCTTAATTCATGCGTCCTTCACAAAGACAAATCTGCCCGATTCCAGCCTTGCTGAAGCACCCCCAGATCATCACCGATCCTCCACCAAATTTCACAGTGGGTGCGAGACACTGTGGCTTGTAGGCCTCTCCAGGTCTCCGTCTAACCATTAGAGTGACCAGGTGTTGGGCAAAGTTTAAAATTGGACTCATCAGAGAAGATGACCTTACTCCAGTCCTCTACGGTCCAATCCTTATGGTCTTTTGCAAACCTCAACAACTCATTTTTTGTCTAACCAGCCTGTTCCTGAGCTATTAGAGCTGTTATTAGTGAACATAAAAATGCAACAACATAGTTATAAAAATAGGTGTCACGAATTCCGCCGAGACTGCTCCTCCTCCTTGTTCGGGCAGGCTTCGGCGTTCGTCGTCCCCGGAAGTACTAGCTGCTACCGTTTGATGTTCTCTATGTTTGTTTGGTTTTGTCTGTTTGGTGCACCTGTGTCTTATCACTTATTGATTATGTCATCTATAAGTTTCCTTTGGTTTTGTTTGTAGTTGTGTGTTGTTGTCTGCCTGTCCGTTGGGGTTTTGGATTTTGCTCTGGGGTATTTAAGTGTATTGACGCACTGTTTGCGCATCGCTTATATTTCGTGTTTTACGCACTGTTTGCGTATCGCTCGCCTCCGTTGTTTGAGGCCCGTTCTTTTGTATTGTAATTTTTCTGACTAGTAAAGTCTGTTGGACTAAGCTTCTGTGTCCTGCGCCTGACTCCAACACCACATCCACTTCAAACACTGACAATAGGAATAATACAAATAACAGTAATTGAATAGAAAACAAGTAATTAAGTAATTTCGTTATGTTAGGGCCCTGGTGTGCTCTATTTAAATACGTGTTTAGAACATTTTGAGGAAGCTGCTGTTCTTTTCGTCATGTCCAATTCCAGGTGTTCCAGCTCTGTTCGTGTCAGCATGGGCAGTTGTCCGGGCAACGCTAGCAGACGGAAGGTGAGTGAGACCCTAGTCCACATTCAATAAGCAGATGCTTTTTGTAGAAATATCTAATAGCTAACGAACCCACAACCCTGGTGTTGCAAGCGCCATGCTCTACCAACTGAGCTACAGGTTAACACTACATTAAGCAATCATTATTCATGGACAACTCCCTCCATGGTAAACTCTCTCCATTTGGGACACACTCCTGTGCAAATCACACACTTCTTAAAGCTCAGTGCAGAAAAACCACTATATGCAAACACTGAATACCGACCTCTATCGCCTGCACATTCAAATTATGGCTAGCTATCATACCTAAATGTGGCAGATCCTTGGAGGGAAAAATAGACTATTTCAGACTCTCTTTCCTCCAATGGGTTCTTATCTAATGTGTGACCAAAAACCTCCCAAATCATGTTAACAGAATGTCCATCCAGAATCTCCCTCGGTTCCCAGGATGAAACCTTCTTTTTGGATGGGTATTCTATTTTCAGAGCTGCTCGCTCTGCGAATCATGAAGTAACACCCCTAAACGGATTAAGTGTGCTCAAATAGAGGGAAAACAAATCTTGCTCAAATACTGACTGAATAAACAAAACAAATTCTCACAATGAATGGGTAGTCAGGCATAGCCTTTGCTATTGGACCTGATGGAACTCAGTGGATGTTTCTTTAGCTGCCCTGTCGGTCACTGTAATGAATAGGGAGAGTATCTCTTTAGCTGCCCTGTCGGTC